ATAGAGCAGTGCTTCTCAATGGCAGGGGGATTTTGCTTCCCAGGAAACATTTGTCAGTGTCCAAAGACATTCTTGGTTATCACAACTGGGAAAAGAGGCTGCTACTGGCACCTGCAGGGTAGAGGCCAGACATGCTGCTAAATATCCAACAATACACTGGGTAGTTCCCACAACAAAGAATTTTCCACCCCAAAATGTCAATAGTGCTGACTTTGAGAAACCCTGGTGTGTAGATAGAAACAACAACCTGCTCATCTTTCAAATGATGGCAGCTGCGAAGGTCTTCAGAAGTCTAGGAATTTGGAAAATTCTAGAGTCATGATAATCTATCACCAAAGGAAAAAAAAACTTGAAGGCCATATAGGCGGCATCTGGTCAAATGATTGCATAAAATTTAAAATAGTTTTCACCTTTTACTTAGCTTGCTAGAACACACCCTTTGCCCTTGAAGAACAGGAACTGATTACATCATCCAGTAGCAGCCCTGCTTGGCTGAAGCAGCAGACAGTTCACCAGATTTCCCAGGAAAGTCTACCCAGCACAGGTTCTGCCAGGGCCTTCAAAGTGCAGGGAGGCTTTGGTGCTGGGGAGAGTGGAGGTGAAGGGGATTGCCAGGGGCCGTTTTGCCAATTTCTCCCAAATCAGGTTGCCCTGTGCATGGCTGAGGTTAGCCCTCACCAGCTGCCTTCTTACCTATTCGACTTCTCTCCTACTGTGCCATTTCTCTAACTAGCACCACTGAGGAGTAAGAATTTCACTGGCTCCTCCCCCACCCCATGCCACCATTCTCTCCACATGGGAATCTACTCTAGAGTTGGGGGAACTCTCCTGCCATTCTCAATAGCCAAAGAAGAGTCACCACTTAGCCTAATTGTACTCAGAAGGTTCGGTTACAAGGCAATGGAGAGCATATAGAGGGTGTGGTGTGTGAGGGGAGATTCAAATGGCAAGGGGAGACTGAAGGGGAGAGGGAAGGGTGAGGATATAACACTGCGAGAATTGTCACAGGAAGATAATTTCCTGCTGCTCATCTGGAGAGCCAAATTCATTTATTTGGAAACTTGGTTGAGTCATTCTTAAGATGAATCTGGTGCTAACTGTTGGATTTGGGTCAGCCTTGAGTATGGTCTGAAAATGCTATGGAGTGTCCATTCCTAGCAGTGGTGATCTCACACGTCTGTGCAATTCTGAGTCACCGATTTGCTTTCTTCTCCCCTGACCCCATTCCCAGTTTCCTACCAGGATCATTGGCTGCCTTGGGAGTTTGGGAATTTGAATTTGTGAAAACTCCCTAGAGCCAAACCCCATGAGCTGTAAAACTGGCCCATTATTCTGAGAATCTTCAAAGGTTAAAGAAATATTAGAAAGGGAAGATGGGAGCTTCTTAAAGTCTATTTGCCCACCTCATCATCCCCAGATAGATTGTCTGTAGATTTTTATGGAGAAAAGGAAATAGTTTCAGATACTTTTTGTTTTAAGCAGACTCTGGGTTAATAATTCTCAGGTTACTTCACTGAATTAAAATGTTTTGATGTAGGAAGAACAAGACATATTAAGGAATAGCCTGTTCAGTGTCTATCAAATATCCCTTCAAGTAATATTATTTTCCTTCAGCCAGTTTCTTCTTTCAAGTATTTCCTATGAAAAGCTTGATTTACGACCTTTGGTAAAATTCATTTCTTAATTTGTGGAGCTTTCATTTTTTTTCCTGACAGTGAGTTTTCATGTTTGGATCAAAACTTGAAATTGAAACAGGTTTCTGTAAAAGTCTAGATAGTAGGACAGCTACGAGACAGCCAGAGTAAAGCTAGCTATTGTCAAACACAAACTTACTGGTTCCCAGAACTGGCTCCCTGAGCAGGGAAAGTTTGCATCATTTTTAAAGCACTTTAATGTGCCATAATTTGTCATTCATAATTGAAATATATGGTAAATTATGCTTCTAGAAAAGTTATCGCTCTGATCCATGTCTGATCTAATGGGACCAGCTGCTTCATACTGCAGGCAGGGTTCTTGTCAGCTCACTCCCTCAGGGCCAAACAGGTGTGGCCTTAGCCCCAGTCTAGGTAGGAGACCTCCAAGGAAAGCCCAGGTGCTTTAGGAAGCTCCACGATGAGATCAGCTATTGGCCCAAATCCCTCTGAGTCAGAATTCTGAGTCTTTTTTTTTTAAAGGCGATTCCCTATTCATTTCCTCCTGTGACTACCTATGCCCATGCTTCACAGTCAAGTGTTCTACAGCAGTGAGATCTTCTTTCCTGGAATAACCCAGTCCACTCTTCCCTGTATCCCTACCCCCGTTACCAAAAAAAGTATTGCTGAGCCAATCCCTTCATATTTGAAAGCTCAAGACTGAGGAGATCAAGTTAAAAACTCTGTTCAGAACTGACACTCCATATTAAAGATAGGAAAGAGAGGTTGTGGGGGTTATTGAGGATGAGAGGTTTAGCTGTAAAATTATTGAAATTCAGACATTAGCTGAGACTTCTTGCAACTGAGAGAATCAAGCCTAATGGGCTCCTTTGCCCAGTGCCATGCCTGGGAAAGACTTAAACACCTGAAGTTCTCTCAAAACTCTCAACATGATCTCCTTCTCACATGATCTCCTTTGCTTCTGTTCTGCATACATGTGTGCTGCCTCAGTTTGGCTCCAGGTCTACCCAAGCATGAAACTCAGCCCTTCACCAATTTTTGCGAGGAAGTCCCCTTGCACCAAACGTCACATGATGATAGAAATTGCTGTAGCCCCCAGGACTGGCACACTTAGCCCCAAGGTCTTTCCCCTGGTTGACCAGAAGTCTTGACCTCTCTGCAAAGGTCCTAATGTAGCAAACTCCTACTATCTGTCTTAAATCTCTTCCTGCATATAGTTCTCTTCCTCAGAGAAATTTTGAGACCAGTTGGTATCATCCTTGTTACAATATCATTGGAATTCACAAGGATAGCACTGGGGATTTCTATACAACAATGCCACAGAACTAATTCATGTCCTCTATTTACCAATCAAATATTTGGTGCCTCCTAAGTATCAGGAGATGTGGTCTTGAATTTTATCTTTGGCAGTAGGAGTAAGGAATGCTTCCTGGTGACCAGCCTAGACCACCAGGAAGAAGATGTTCAAGGACTGGGTGAGCATACAGACGTTTATAGCACAACATAGTCTTGGTAATAACGGATTTAACTGATTTTATTGATTACTGGGCAAAACTACACTTCAGTGTAGAAGGACAGAACATCATGGAGCAAAGAGTGGGATGAAATAAATGATGGAGAGCATTTTCTGTTCACTCAGAAGGGGATCTAGAAAGCATACACCTTCCACCATTTCATTGTCTAAGCACCTCCCAGCTTCTTGCCAGAAGAGTTACTGTAACATCTCCTCCTACGCAGTGAATGGCATTGAAGAGGTTTCGCAATACCATGAATCTGCATTAAATGGGGCTCTATACAAAAATTCTTGGGTTCTATAGTCAGGTGATGGGTTTAAATCTCAGTGAGCCAGATACTTATCACTTAATTCTAAGTGAGTCCTTGTCCTCTCTAAGCTTGGATTTCTCAGTTTATGAAGAGATCATGATATCTCCCTACGAAATTGGTGTGAAAATTAGAGATGTAGGCGTATAACATAGACTAGGGTATAGCAGACACTCCATAAAAGGCAATCACAAGTTTTACTACTGCAGATTCTTTCTCGTCAATAGTACAAACAACTTTTCATAAAAATCCCACTTATAACCCTAAGTATAACCTCAATAATATCAACTGTACACTTATGTATGATTACTTCTATTTCCACGTAATGTTAGTATATCTTTTTAAATTGTATTTTGAGAAAATCCAAAATGGTATGCTTTTTGGTATAAAACTCCTGGCCAAAAATGTTATTACATCTTCTTTCCTAAAAAAAATAATAACTAAAACTTCCTTTATATCAGTGACAGAAAATACTAGTCTTCATTTAGCTTTAAAGAAATGTTGAATGTTTTCCATGGAGAATGAGAAGGGGGTAAGAGACAAGACTTCAAAGTAATAAGTATATAATCCTAAGAAGTCGTTTATTTATTTGAGAGATAATTTTCAAAATATGGATGATTGAAATAAGCCATGGAAATACTACTCCTAATAGTATTATTATAGATCATTATGAACTTGAAGAGAGGAGTCCCAAAATACCACAGGAAATGTATGTAAAAGAAATGTTTACAGCGCGGGGAAAACAATACTGTCCAAACAGAAGAGAAGCTTTACTCAGAACCTAAAGTACCTGGAAGTGTTTTTATTTTGACACCTCAAAAACTGATTGAGTCATGCTAAACTGTGCCTCAAAACCCAATTGTTCGAAGAGGAGAATGCAATTTAATAAACCGATCTGTTCCTAAAATTCAGGGATTTCACTGCATGGAGATCACCAAGTTACAGCAAAAAATCAGGTTAAAGTCTCTTATTTGATTTGCCATTTGACACTTCTTCTATTGTAGTTAATTCCTTAGATATCAAGTCACTATTGTAGAGGTGGCAATTTGAAGTATTTCTTTTAAGTTCATCTTAATCTACAACATATCTTTTCTAACTTAGTCTGATCTGTCTAGAAGCCAAGGTATAAAGAATAGTGCTATTATACTGCGTGAGGCAATGAGCCCTACAGGACCAAACTTGAAGAGGAATCTAGGTCATTGTTCTGACAGATCTGAGCTTTAATATTTAAAGACACCTACATGTCTAGAACCATGCCAAGTAGTCATGTGATTTGAGGCTTTGCTTCTGAGACTTACAGTTGAGTAAAATGCAATATAATTGACCCCTTCCTTTAAAAAATAGTCAACTATGCAAAGATTACTACAAGAGACTTAATGAAGTATAACACACAGCAAAATTACTGATTCTCAAATAATGTTCTCTGTAAGTTTTATTTTATTAACTCTGGATTTTTAAAAATCATGAAATGCATTTTTAAAAATGTTTATGGTTAATCTAATGCCTTCATAAGGTTTTCCCTCACCATTCTTATAAATTCTCATCTCTTTTACAAAGGTTTTTTTTTTTTTTTTTAAACTATAGTTAGATTCTTGAATTCTTTCAAACATAGTGGGCCATTCACTCCAGCTTCTCTCCGCTGGGTCTGTTCTAATTAAAGGCAGTAAGAGAAATCCCTTGGCTTACTTTTTCTATTCAGTATATGTCTGTTCAGCCAAGAAAAGTATACTTTGTTTAATAAAGAGATTACTAATCACTAAGCAAAAGGAAAGGGAAGATGGTATAGACAAAGCCATGGATAATCAAAAGTTTAGATTTGAAATTCACACAAAAAGCACATGTTTTTTTTCATGTGCAAGCTCCACCTTTCCCAGCTAGGTCTCTCTTGTGAAGTTATCATCTACTCAGGAACTAGAGGAGGGAAAGGCCAGAAGACAGGAGGGTACCGAAAGCAACTTGATCATCCAAAGACAATCAAAGTGGAAATATGCATCTCTAATAACATAGAATACAAGGAGTCCGTTTTAAAAAAATAGCACATTACAGTTTACTTGTCAGTCAGTCGTTTGGAATCAGAATATATTTTCCATTAGACGTAATGTTACAAAGCAGGCATATCCCCAAAATCCATCTAATTTATTATGTTCAGTTTGAAATAAAGAGAAGAATACAGTGCCGTTCCAATTATTGTCATTACAAAATTTTAAGACATAAAAGTGTTTTTTTATTATTATTTTTCAGAAGTGCTGTGCTTGTGGAATGACACTGTGTTAGATAATTTTATCAGAGGCTTGCAGGAAGGGGACATCTGAGTAGTTTCAGACCATTGGACATTAATGGCCCCTTGGTTTTAGGTGTTATTGGCTCTCTTACATTTGTCGGTCACAATTGGGAAAACTCTTGAAATAACAAGTTAAATAATGCAAGGTAGAGGTTATGGGAAAAGGGGTTGTTTGATTATTTTTAAAAAACTGGGCAAGCTTTGAAAAAAAGAGGGAAGTAAGGAGTTGCTTACTGATGATGCAAATACAAGTAAAAGAGACTGAGGGTAGAATTCACCTATTGCCTATCAGTGAGAGGTTGAAGAAAGGCACCTGGCTATAGGCAAGGCAAGGCATGTGAAAAGTTAGGAAAAGAGGTCAATTCCTTACCCTGGTTTCCAGGTGACAACACCATTCCTATTTAGTTACTAGGCAGAGTAAACAGAATGGTATTTAAGGAGTAACCTGAAAAAATCAGCGGTGTGGAAGGGGAAGCAGTGTCCTATAAAATATTCACAAATCAGACATTTGTAACACAGGAACTGAATTTTTTTTTTCCTTTTGATAAGCTTGTATAGAACTTCATGAAACCAGCAGAGTGGAAAGGGCATGTATTTGCAGTCACACGAACTTGGATTTGAATTGCAGCTCTGTTATGTCATCTTGAACGAATGGTCTAACCCCTGTGATCCTCAGTTGGGATATATTACAAATCAGTATAGAATGTCACTGTGAGGGTTTTATGTTTGCTGGTGAACTAGACATTATGTTGCCGGTGAACTAGACATTCAATAACTGACATTTATCAGCTTTCTGAAATTTGCCAGTAATGCCTGACAGGTTGTATGTTCAGTGACCTACCTGTGGTGTTTGAACCTGTACCAAATCCAGTATATTTTTATCCTGTAATATATTTAAATACATAGTAGATCAAGAACACAATAAATATAACTCACTCTATGTGGGATTGTTGGAGTTGCTATAGAAATTTGGCTGGGCTTCTGACTTTCAAAAGGAATCCTAATTAATAGAATCTTCTCATAGAGTTATCTATTCCAAGTAAACGAATTATCTCTTTTATAGCTAAAGGTCAAATGCATTTGAACTTGTCATTGTGAGACTCATTTTCTCAAGTGAATGATAAATGAGCAAAAGGCTGTGGATTAGATAAATGGACTGGATGTCATTAAAGACCTAAAATGAGGGGCGCCTGGGTGGCGCAGTCGGTTGAGCGTCCGACTTCAGCCAGGTTACGATCTCACGGTCCGTGAGTTCGAGCCCCGCGTCAGGTTCTGGGCTGACAGCTCAGAGCCTGGAGCCTGTTTCTGATTCTGTGTCTCCCTCTCTCTCTGCCCTTGCCCCATTCATGCTCTGTCTCTCTCTGTCCCAAAAATAAATAAACGTTGAAAAAAAAAATTAAAAAAAAAAAAAAGACCTAAAATGAGTCTGTATCTGTCCTTGACCTCCATGAGGATGCACAGCGTTAGATCCTGAGGTTATTTGCTCTTTTTATTGAATCAGTGATTTGGGTTCTTTAACAATACCTGTCAGTTTGTACGTCTAGAACCAATGAAATACCAGGCTATTATAACTTTCCTAACTCTGCTGTACTTTGGCAAGTGTGGCAGAATAAATGAGAAACTTACACTTCCAAAGCACAATGATTTATCGAGAAGATCTGTACTACATAATAAACAGATGGGATGACGCCAGAAGCACATGGCATGGTGGTTCCCCCAGAGACCTTCTTTCCTCTATAGATCACATCATTTACTACAAATGCTTAGAAGGCTTTGAAGACTTTGTCCAAGACATTTATTAATTAAATAAAGGCCTATTTATTAAAGTAAGTGTGCTGTCATTTTAATGCCCAAACCATGCCTCTCTATAAAAGCTAGCAGTTCTCACTTAATGCAAAGTGTGGTTATATTCGAGTAAATGCATTAACCCACTTACAGTGAAGCAAGACAGTGTCTCCAGATTTCTGTGGTCCTTGGAACTTGAGAGTATGGATATGTACTCAGTCATGAGGGTGCAGGATCTGGTAAACCTAAGAATAAAAATCTGCCCTGCAATGTGTGACTTTTGCCTACTCGACAGAGTATCCTTATTATGTTTATCACCAGAACAACCCAGGCTACACTTCTCTTGTTATAAATGGAACTGAAATAAGATTTTTTGGTGATTTGGGTATATATCATCTCATCCTCCATTGAAATCACACTTGTAGATTGTATGCACATTCCACAAAAATGTCTTTTGAATACCTATTATGTGCCAAAGCCTATACTGGGTTCTATGGCTTTAAAGATGAATGGGACACACTCCTACCTACAAGGAGTTCAGGGTAGAATAAAGAAAGGATATGCATAATGTGTATTATCTTGTAATACATCTCACGTGCTACAGGGATACTAGGACACAAATGCCCTGAAAACATCAATGAGAGAGTGATTAATTATTCCTTGGGGACCCAGAAAAGTTTTATTGAGGTGGCATTTAAAGTGGGCCTTAAAGGGGCGCCTGGGTGGCACAGTCGGTTAAGCGTCCGACTTCAGCCAGGTCACGATCTCGCGGTCCGTGAGTTCGAGCCCCGCGTCAGGCTCTGGGCTGATGGCTCAGAGCCTGGAGCCTGTTTCCGATTCTGTGTCTCCCTCTCTCTCTGCCCCTCCCCCGTTCATGCTATGTCTCTCTCTGTCCCAAAAATAAATAAACGTTGAAAAAAAATTTAAAAAAAAATAAAATAAAGTGGGCCTTAAAGGTGAGAAGTGGCTTGTAAGTCAGGTGAACAACAAACATTTGTCATCCTGGGGGAGGTTGCTAAATAAACAGAATGTGTGTCCGTGCAAGGCATTCTTGTCTTTTGTATCAGGTTGGCATTGTTCATTCATCAAAATCCATACAGAGCTAAAAGCCTGGGGAAGTGCCCTTTGGACATTTCATCCAGAGAGAATAAAGGCAGGAGTATTTCCTCGAGGTCACCCCTTAGCAATGAAAATGCAAGTCCTATATGTTGGGTCTATTCTCTGCATCATTTCAAGTACAGAGTAACTTGACCTTGTAGAGAAATGAAGGTGAGGAAACGGCTAGAATCCTTGATTTCTAAGGAAATACATTTAACCATCTCTCCGCCTGAAGAAAGTTAGCAAAGTATCCAGGTTATTGATGTTTCTTAAATTATACTTATCTCATTTAACACTAAAGGTGTTTAATTGAGTCAACCCTGACCTGAGCTTCAATATATTAAATGCAGCACTTTTACTGTTTTCAAACTGCCACTGTCAGTTGGTATATCTAATAAAAATTAAATGTTTTTGAATGAGAGAATAAAATTACACCCTAAGTGAAGTTAAAAAACCAAACTCCAGAGGTGCCTAGGTAGCTCAGTCAGTTAAGTGTCTGAATTTGACTCAGGTCATGATCTCACGGTTCATGGGTTCAAGCCCTGCGTCGGGCTCTGTGCTGACAGCTCAGAGCCTGGAGCCACTTTCAGATTCTGTGTCTCCCTCTTTCTCTGCTCCTCCCCCACTTGCGTGTGCTCTCTCTCTCTCTCTCAAAAATAAATGAACGTTAAAAAAAAATTTTTTAGAAGACCAAAATATAACTGGAGAAAGGATTTGCAATATGACTGGCAGAGTGGAGAACTGTGCTATACCCAGAGTTCTCACAGACAACATTAAAAAATATATACAGACAAGTGAAAAGCAAAGATAATGAGCAAGAAATTCTAGAGAAAATAATGATACAAAAAAATGCTCAATTTAACTCATAATGAAATATAAATTAGAATAATAGTCATACATTGGGTACATACCATATATTACAAAGATTGGCAAGTACAAAATTTTAAACATTTAAAAAAAATTTTTTTTAATGTTTATTTATTCTTGAGAGAGAGAGACACAGAGCATGAGCAGGGGAAGGGCAGAGAGAGAGGGAGACACAGAATCTGAAGCAGGGTAGAGGATCCGAGATGTCAGCACAGAGCCCGACATGGGGCTCAAACTCACAGGCCGTGAGATCATGACCTGAGCCAAAGTCAGACACCCAACCTACTAAGCCACTCAGGGGCCCGAGCAAGTACAAAATTTTAATACTACCCAATATTGTCAAGAACATAGGGAAACAGTCTCTTTCATAAACTCAGGGGAGGATCCAGCATTTGTGCCTAAAGCTCATACAATTTGGGAGGCCTCTTTGAGAAAAATAACTATTTTACACTATTAAGTACAACCTTAAAATTTTACTTATAAAGAGAAAAATTCCAATGAACTATAACCTTTCAAAAGATGACAAACACCACAAACATCGCAAAATCTAGAAAAATAACAATGTTTGTATTAATTTACTGTCTGGGATATCTCTATAATACCTTTTTTTAAAAATGTTTATTCATTTTTGAGAGAGAAAGAGACAGAGCACAAGCAGGGGAGGGGCAGAGAGAGAGGGAGACACAGAATCGGAAACAGGCTCCAGGCTCTGAGCCATCAGCCCAGAGCCTGACGCGGGGCTCGAACTCACAGAGCGCCAGATCGTGACCTGGCTGAAGTCGGACGCTTAACCGACTGCGCCACCCAGGCGCCCCGTGACTAATCAATCTTAATGACTCTTTGAATTGACCGCAATCCTTTGGTAGTTGACATCTTTGTCATGGTGGTATGTGTTGTTATTTTCCATGCCAGTATTTCCTGTCAAATCAACAAGAAACTGAATCATTTTCAATGTATTTATGATTCACTCTTCTTCATAAATTCAATCATCAAATAAGCCAATAGCCAATTCACTACTCCTACTTAAAATTCATTGTGGCCTTTTAATGAATTACTGCTTTTGGAGTGATTTGAATGTTTCTTTTTTTTATTTCCTAAACAATTCACTTTTTTACTTCAAAATAGCTTTTATTGGTTTTACCACTCATCTTTATTGCTTTGGTTTCGTATTCCATTAATTTTTAATCTGAATTTAATTTTATTTCTTCAATAAATAACTTTAAAGATGGCCAAAAAAAACCCTTTTCCTATATGTCAATATCAGGAGTCTATAATTTATCATGTATTATATCGAAATCTTCTAAAAGGTCTTTACAAATTTCAGTTAAAATGGTGTATTCCCAACTCAATCTTCCCTAAGTCTGATCTCCAAAATACCCAAGAGTCAATCTAACTCCACCTAGCATGTGACAGGTATGACAGCAGGAAAGTCAAAGTAAAGAGACAGTAGTCATAATCAACTGTCGTTAAAATATCTTACTTTTGCTAATTTTATAAAACTATTAGAAACATCTACACATTTCAAGATCCCAGGCCTTGGACGAAGGCCATGGAAGCGAGGCAATCTGAAGCTAAAGATTAATTAGCTTGCTGTAAATACTCCTCGGCACACCCTCATGGTGAAAGTACAAATTCTAATCATATATTTGTAGAACAATGTGTTACCAAAATTTAGAGTCACACATCCTTTGGTCCCACACTTCCATGTCTAATTACTCATTCTACGCTCATTCTACATAGACTCTCACAAATGAACAAAACTTTATGCTTCAAAAATATTCCCTGAAGGATTGCTTGTAACAGAGGGAAAAACACACTCTAAGCATTAATACAGGATTAGTAAACTTAGTTATAGATGTCTATGCTATGATATGCTGTGTAGTTATTAAATGAATAATTAAGAATAAGTTACATATACACAAATATATATTATATATACATAGACACCCAAATTATATTTTAAATGGAAATAGTAAATTATAAAACAGTATATAGAGTTCAGGCACAACTGATTTCTTATGTAATTATATTTATGTAGAAAATTTCTGGACTATTTATCTTCTAAGGATTGAACTGAGGGGACAGAGAACTTCTAATTATAAATCTTTGTATATTTTAATACTATTCCCTTCCTTTTTTGAACACAATATATCATTTTTATAATAAAAAAATATTTACAACTGCTGTTCAAGATTCTCGTGCATCAATTACTACTTTTTCTCTTTAAACTCATCTTTTTTAAAAACCTAAAATAAAAGGGTATTTCTTCAAGAATCCCTGCTTGCAGATGACCTGAGTTTTAGCTATTCTTTTTTATTTTCGGTTTTGTTTCTGACTGCTCTGTATTAATCTCAATCTTGTGACCAGAACTTTAGGACAAATACAAACCCAGAATTTGTCAAGATTTCTTGAATGATGCCTTAGTGGAATAAAATATGGTTGACTGGGTGATCAGAATGATTTAAGGTATTTTGTTCTGAAATTATATTATATTGAGTAGACATCATGATCAAATAGAGGATATAAAGAAATTCTAGCCTTCAAGTGGTTACCAAGGGAGGACAAGAGACCAGAAAACTCACAGTCATCTCAGGAGAGAGTGATGGTTGTATTCTAGAACATTTGCGAGAGAGCCTTCCTTAAAAAGAAAAAGGTAACTCCTAAAGAAGGGTATAATATTTATAACATAATGTCAACTTTGCCTGGGGAGACAGGGGAACGTGCAGGCTTGCCTGTGAGCCGTCTTTAGCATACTTTACTAAATGACGCAAGGATATTAAGAAATCAGTGATTTATCACTATTTCCTTATGTCTCAATGTCTTCTCTTCTGCAAGTTTGGATTTGCCATAGAACTTTTTTTTTTTTTAATCTTAGCTAGTTACAACATAGGTCCAAGAATTCTAGCCTTTCGACAAACTATTTACTTAAAAAAAATCCAATACATAATAGGTCTGTAGCTTGAAAGAATAAAAGAGATGGAATGGCTTGTTTCAGAGAGGAACTGTTTGGGCATGAATGGCTCCCAGAGCAACAAGACTAGCTGTTGGTCACTTTGGTCCAGAAAACCTCTGGGGCTTTAGCTCAATCTACATGTCATTAGAGAGCACTGATTCTTAAACTCCACATGTGTAAGAACGTTTTACAGAGCTTATTAGAAAGAACC